CACACACACACACACACACACACACACACACACACACACACACACACACACACACACTTCCTGTAGAACTCCAGCCCCTACCCTTCCTTCCTCCCTCCTCTTTTGTACTACTACTGAACGCATACGAGTGAGCATCACTACGAAAACAGGCAAAATATAAGCTGAAGATCTGAGGAAAAATGAACAGGAGATACCTCCCTCTGTGACTCCTTTCGTAGAATGTGAGTGGGCCGTTAGGGCACATGGGGGTCTGGGCAGCTTGCGCTCAACCACAATCAACGTGGCAAGCCTTTTATGAGGCACAGTAAAAGGGGAGCAGCAAGAAGAAATAAAAGGGATACCCCAAAGAAAGTCAAAGTAAAGAAACGGAAGAAAGGACTGTACAAGGAAAAGACAATACAATGTTCTTATTGTGCTGCATGTTGTTTGCTGTAGAGGTAAAGCTGTTTGAAATTTGGCTCTGTCATCTTTCTGTGCTTCATGTTGTTTGCTATAGAGGTGAAGCTGTTCCAATTTTAGATCTGCTCATCTGGGTGGAAAAGGGGTTGTTGTGGTGACAATGTACGACACACACTTGATGAGTTGGTGAAAGTCCGACGAAACAGTCTGACACACTCATCCTTTTGTTTGTGAAGTTGTGTGTAGCGAACATGACAACACACACACTCCAGATAGGTCAACGAAAGTTCGACAAAACACTCTGGCACAGTCATGCTTTTTCTGTGGAATTGTCACTTGTGTATAGCGAACATGACAACACACACGAGGCAAGAATCCAAGTGCGGCCGTACGGCTCACTTCGCATAGGTGTATTTGATAAGGTTGAGGCTGGGACATTCCCTGTCATACATTATCCCAGTGCTTCCTCCAATACCCCAGCTCATCAGCCTGCAGGTGTGCTAACGGGACAATTAACGAGGTTCGAACATATTTGTAACAATACTACCGACTTCAAAGCGACAGTGACTTCTTTGACATGACGTATGCTTGTTAGGGGGCATCCTCCTAGTGTCCTGGGCAAAGGCTGGACGACATATGTGCATGGCCTGCAGCGCCGGCTACCCACTCATGTCACTCGATATGTGCATGGCCTGCAGCGCCGGCTACCCACTCATGTCACTCGACTCTTAAATTGGTTTCGTTGCATGGTGCGCTGGGCCATTGCTCACCCACTGCTGAATGCACACTCCACATACAGACCCTCCTCCCGATCACATGCAACAGGCCATCACCCAATCCCAAACACCAATTATGGCTGCAGGCGACATCAGCCCTCCACACAGCACGCGGTACAGCAGGTCTACCCCCTCCTGTTATTCCTGTTGAACTGGCAAACGCCAACGTGGATACGCCAGCCCAGCCGGAGAACGGGCATACCGAAAGGGTGCCTCCTTCCTCACTGCCGCTGCCACCACCACCACCATCACGACCTCCTCCTCGTCCACCACCACCATCACCACTACCACCTCCTCCCCCACCGCCACTACAATAGGTGTCCCCACCACCATCGCCACCGGCATCCCCACCACCATCATCATCATCCCCATCACCATCGCCAGCACCTTCCCCGCCGACATCTTCTACAGTATCCCCCCAGTCATCTAACCCCTCCTCTACTGCTTCTTCTTCCTCCCCTTCTTCTACTTCTTCTGCTTCTTCTTCTTCTTCCTCTTTTTTCTCTTCTTCCTCTTCCCTACCCTCTTTGTCATCCCCCCCCTACTCCTCTACCTTGCCTGATTCATCATCTTCATCATCGACACATTCCTGGTCAGATCAGCCGTTGCGGCGACCCCTTTGCCCAAGGCATCCACAGTCAAGTCGGCCATCCCAAACACCTCATCGGCGGAGGCACTCCCTGTCTTCACCACCATCTCCAAGACAGCGACCTCGTTTGTCCATGTACAGCATGATCACCGCGCCCCCTGCAAGGGTTCGAGATCTGCTCCGACACTATGCCCGCAACTGTACAGAACGGCGACGTCGAGCTCAATACACACTAGCCTGGAATAGTACAAATCGAGTCCGATGCCAAAAATTTGGCGACAATTTCTTCAATATTACGAGCCTGCGGGTGCATCAGACACAGGGTGCGGCCGCCTGTGCAGCTTTTGGGCGACTGCCAGCCACCTTAAGTACAAGTGCGGCTGATCAGCCGCCATTACCTGCATCTGACCCACCCATTTCTCCCCCACCTGGCCTCGCATGCTTCCCGGCCCCAATGGTCAATGACTTGCCTTCTGATCATTTGATGGAGCCTTTGACTGAAGATGACCTTTGTCCTGTGCGTGTGCTATATCCAATGCAGTTGACACGAATGGAGGAACCTGACAGAAACGATCAAGACCACAATGAATCTCCGCCTGCTGTGCAATCCACATAATTGATTGAACTGCCCCCTGCCGCACAACACGCAGAATCAGATGATCTCATAGTGCGACAGCGAGGCCACTGTGCGTACTATGCTATCAATGGAAGTCTCCTCGCGTACAATTGTAACCCATACACCGTTTCTGATTTCGCGAATATTGTCTGCTGGATAGAAGAAGAGCACAGTGCTGTCTGCCCAGAGGATGACAGTATGGGTCTTGGACAGCGTTCGGGCATACACATAGCTTGTGAACTACATATCGCCTAGTACGGGCTATATCCAGAAGTTTCCACACATGATGCTGATGTACATTTCGAAACATAGATTCACAGAGCATACACAGCCTTCGGGTATACGTATAGCTTGCAAACTACACATCGCCTACGGGCTACATACACAAGTTTCCCGGTGCGTACATACATACAACTATAATATCAGGCTGGGGGGGTCTAATCACTGGGTGGGGTCTAGTATCTGCAGTAGGTTCAGGTAGGGGTTCCTACTAACATTCGGATAGAACTGTCTGGTGGCATATATAAGGCTTAGACACTAGGGTAAGGGTAGGGATATAAATCGCTCAGGCCAGTCCGAGTTCCACCTGACCTTGGGTAAGCTAGGGGAAGGACGGGAAGACTGCTTCAGTGGGTGCTAACCTGTCTGAACCTAGGGTCCATAGTCTCTTGGGGCCTGTAGTAGATTGTCTGCCAGTGGGCCTGTCGTCGGAAGTTCCTGTTCGACAAGGCTGGCCCGATTCTGCTTCCAACAAAGCTGGGCAACCTATCAGCCCTGGTGCCTATCATTGCTGTTCGGTCCAAGTTGCCTGCCCATTGGTAGGGCAATGGTCCTGAGTGCGGGTCACACTGAGGTAGGATAGTGGGATAGGGAGTGCGCTAGGAGTAATGACGTGAGGATGGGATGGGAGGTGGTCTCGTATTCCAGGACACCCGTGGCTCACAGCTCTAGGTGATCACTGTGCACTCAGTGACTGGCCTCTACAACAACTTGGACTTGGGTAGAAGACTATAACTGCAGCCTGCTCCCAAGAACCACATGCCAGACATGGACTCAAATATTTGCGCGTACATCCCTCGTTGTCCAGGTCATTTCAGCTATGTGACCTTTGCAGATAATTCATGGGCCTTATAGGACAATGGCGCTAGGGTGCACATCGTAAGTAGTATTAACTCTTTCGATAACCAAATAGCAAATACTCACTCAATTTGGATTGCCGCCAGGAACAGTATGTTACTTCGCACCGACAAGCGCTTCCGTCTCTGAAGAGCAAAAAAATCCGGATGCACAATCACCTTCTTCCCCTGCACATCGCCAAGCAGTGTCCCCTCCCTGTGTAGATCAGACAGATTCTGCTCCAAACAATGAAGGAACCCCCTTAGAAGATGTTGATTGTGCCCTTCCATTTTGTGGCCACACAACCACAGTTTGGTTAGCATGCACAGTGCATAGTGTCTGCCCCGAACACTATGAAGGGATGGTCACTGCCAGCCTCTGTCGCGAAAACTGCGACTCTTTGTCTTGTCTTCATCCCCCCCACCCCCTAATCACTTGTCAAATATGCCGTCGTGGCCTTAATCTGCCATGCTTAAATAGTTGTGAACGTTAGTCTGCCTTCCTGCTGATATGTCAGCAACATGCCATGTGTCATTAATGTTTCCAAGAAGTTGTCATAGAAAGCCTGTGTCTCTACTGCATGGACTATCCACAATGCCATCCTTCGCCACATCCTCTCTTAGTATGTCACATGCAGAGTTGGGCACACACTTGCTGCAAACGTCATTGGATTTCCTTCGTTCTTGCCCCGAGGAACGACAAACTCAGCAGCCTGAGCAGGATAATAGAGTACCATATGAACCGCTTATAGAGCGCTGTGCTGAAGGGCTAACACCACCAGAACGAACTGATGCATAAAAAATCCTGCAGCAGCCAGACAACCTTGTTTTGGATGACCCCCTCTTGCCACAGTCGTCGTCGTCATCGGACCGTAGAGAATGAATCAATGCCGACAATACCCAACTTAAAGACACTTGCTCAATCATTATGCCGTTTTGTGATGATCCACCTGATATTCGGCTAGCACGTGGGTTGCATGCATTGTGTCATGAGGATTATGAAGGTACAGCCCGTGCATCTTTTTGTTTTCATACATATGATGATAATCAATACTGCACTCAAATCCGGCACCCTGACATGTCATGTCCAATTTATAAGTGATATTTGTCTACGCCTTTATAAGCGCGGTCGGCGTGCCTCTGTGTTCCTCGCCTCTGGGAGCCACATTGTCTGTGATATTTGTCTACGCCTTGCCATTTGGTGCAGCAACTGCGACTGCGAGAATTGGATGCGATGCTTCCACAGTCCGCAACGGAATCAGTGCTGTCCAGTCCGTGTGGCCACCTACCATAGCCAATGACTACTCCTCGACAAAAATCATCCTGCAACCCGAACACTAACTGACCTCTCATATCATTCTAGAGTGATCTGCTCCAACGGTGTGTATAGAGAACCTACTGAACTCTCTCTCTCTCTCTCTCTCTCTCTCTCTCTCTCTCTCTCTCTCTCTCTCTCTCTCTCTCTCTCTCTCTCTC